GATGATGCACATGCAGTTATTGTCACACGGTGGATATTGCATTAATTATTTGCATGATTTAATTTAAAGACTCTTTAAATAGCTTATTTATATTCTTTGAGAATGTAATATTATCATTATTGTAATTGAAAATAATTTTGTAAATTTAATAATACTATTAACAAAAAAATGTGTCATATATAATTCTTAGTTTGATAAAATTTTATTTGTTTCATTAATATTTATGTTGTTAAATCAACAAGATGATTTTTAATTAAAATAATGCTATTAATACATCTTTTTTTGCAGTGTAATTAATCTATTTTGTAATATCTGCTTTATAAAATATTATTATACATATTTTAATAAATTTGTGCGGAAATTTTGATTTAACTATCGGATAATATCGATTATTATCGACAGATCATCGTGAAAAAAACGAGGTAGAGAAAGAGATCGTGAAATTGGATGTTAGTCGTCGGAATAAAAATGACGTGTATTTTAAGCACGCAGTTATCTGACTTAATGTAAAAAAAACTAATCGCTCAATCCCTATCGTGATGATTTTGCGTAGAAAACGTACGATCCAAATCTGAGGTCTGAGGTGGCAACGAATCTGACATAATATGGGAACGAACGTGATAATGTCTCTGACCAGGAGGGCTGCATCGCAGCTGAATTATATATTTTGTCGTCATCAGTCTACCACAAGGTATCAATCTCTTTATAGGGCTTACACCGTGAAATTCCGAATAACTTACTGCCATCTCTCAAAGTCCTGCGGAATGACAGCGTTTAATAATGAGCGTCATTTAATCCGGCCCAGAACTGTTAAGTTCTTGTCCAAATCTCCGACGAACGTTTGATAATAAGCTCTTTAGCCGTGGATTAATAAACATCTCACGTACTTCGCAAAGCTGCAGCCTGTTACTCAACATGAAGGAAGTTTGACGGGCATGTATGTCTGTACACGGATTACATCCCCGTCCCTAGACTTTTCTGCGTTGTAGGAATTCTATGTTCCATAAAATTTCCGTTGTAAGATAATATTCTTTGAATTATTGATATACCAAAGTAGAACATAAGTCATCAAAATGACGTCAAAGTGGTTCCAAAATGTTTATTAAAAATTACTTTTCAATTAGATACGATATATTTTAACGTTATTTTGACGTTATTGATTTGTCGTTCTGCTTGAATATCTTCTTTTATATTTATTTATTATTTCTGCTACAATCAAGATATATTGCTCATAATCAACACGAATTATTAATTCTTAAAACAATCCCACACAAAACTATGGATTATTGGGTTTTGGTAAAATTGACTTAAACTGTAGTATGTTTTAGTTTTTGACTAACTGATCAAAAATTTCCTTAGAAGAAAACTATCAAAAAGAAATAGATGCAAGCCATAGCACCACTTAAAAGTTGAATCTAATTGGCTAAAAAATATCTTTATCTCTACTAATGTTATGTTTTAATAACTGTACCTTAATATTGTTATGTACAAAATAATGAGATGAATTAACTAATATAAGGAAAATATAATATATATTTGTTTTAAGAAAAAAATATGTAGCTTCCAAGTATACACATTGCACAACTGTTTTGAAAAGCAACTATGCGTTTTCTTTAGGTTGAAATCGTTATACATATTAAAGATTGAGATTGAAAGATTGAAATTTGACCAATCAAAATAATAGAAGTTAAAATTCTTTTATTCTCATTGGTCAAATTTCAATTTTCAATCTTCAATCATAATCTTCAATGCGTAGTCTGATTCCGTCCTGATCAATTGATTCATCTCATTATTCCATGCATGAAAGTATTAAAAAGAAGAGAGAGAGAGAGAGAGAGAGAGAGAGAGAGAGAGAGAGAGAGAGAGAGAGAGAGAG